GAATAGAATAGAATAGAATAGAATAGAATAGAATAGAATAGAATAGATGAAGAACAGAATAGAATAGAATAGAATAGATGTTGGATGAAGAATAGAATAGAATAGATGAAGAACAGAACAGAATAGAATAGAATAGAATAGAATAGAATAGAATAGAATAAATGTTGGATGAAGAATAGAATAGAATAGAATAGAATAGAATAGAATAGATGAAGAATAGAATAGAATAGATGAAGAATAGAATAGAATAGAATAGAATAGAATTGAAGAAGAATAGAATAGAATAGAATAGAATAGAATAGAATAGAATAGAATAGAATAGAATAGAATAGAATAGAATAGATGAAGAATAGAATAGAATTGTTCTCACTGTCAGTAAATTTAAGATGAAGAATATAATAGAATAGATGAAGAATATAATAGAATAGATGAAGAATAGAATAGAATAGAATAGAATAGAATAGAATAGAATAGAATAGAATAGAATAGAATACCTTTATTGTCATCGCATTCCACGAATACAATGTAATTTGAAAGGTCCCTTCCAACTTCTTGTTATTCTGTTCATGGCAAAAGGGCTCAAACGCTCAGTATCCTTGTTGCGTGTACCTGATAGAGCTACAGAATTGGTTTATTTTTTGCTTCCAATAATTTATCCAGTAGCAGTTGTCACAGACTGACATCTTTATAAGTTTTTGGCCTTGAATTGAGTGCAACTAACTTCATTTTGCTTCGTTTCCTGAACAAAACCTCTGCCGATTTTATATTTTACAAGTCCTTGGAGGAAACTATTCCTTTAATGGTTTCAGCTACTCTGTCAAGCGTCAAACGCCACGCTCGATAGTAACAGCGGTCTACCTTTTCATGTCGAACCTAACACGGTCTCTTTTTGTGTGTGTGTGTCTGCCAAAAGCCGTAATGGATTGGTGCTTGCTGTGCAATCCAGGTTTCAGGGGCCGAAGAAAAGGGGGCACGGCACACAGCCGACCTCAAGGAAGGACTGATGCTATTAAAGTCTTAGTAAGGGATCCAGGGAGGGGAGGTGGCAGGTTGTGTAATGCGACACTGAAACAGAGCCGTTAAAAACTGCTGATGCCATGGGCCTGTGTGACCATGAGGGGGCAGTGTTGAACGTGTTTGCGCTTGGGGAGTTTAGCATTGGAGATGCTCGCTTGGACCCACAATAGATATAACTCCAAGCTGTGTTTGTCTGAAAACGGAACATGGCAGCTTCTTTATAGTTGAGGGGAGAATACTGTTAGATAGGACATGTGGGCAAAGGCCCCCCACCACAACAACTGAGAGCAGGACCTTTTCTTGAATTTCATCGTAGGATTTAGCCTCCAGATTGATCCCCTTGCCCTCTCCTTATCATCTACAATATTTATATTATCTGCGGATCAACCTCCTTCTCAATCTTTGCTGCTCTTCGTTGCGTGCTTTCTAGGGTCTGTGCAGCTTTTTTTAAAAAAGTATTCTGGTCATCACGATGCCCCAAAAACGGTAATGAGACCCCCCCGAAAGAGTGCAGAAAAGAGATTTAGGAGGCTAAAAGGTATAAAGTACGGTTGCAGGAACTGGGTCAGTGGTGATATTCAGCAGGTTCGGACCAGTTCTGGAGAACCGGTAGTGGAAATTTTGAGTAGTTTGGAGAACCGGCAAATCCTACTTCTGACTGGCCCCACCAACCCCATCTCTTCTCCAGAGCCGATCATGTCTCCAAAGGGAGACCCTGCGACATTGCAATGGTCATAAATATAAACCAATGGTCACGCATTCAAATGCAGATCACGGTAACCAGGGTGGGAGGCTGAAATGGTCATAACTGTGAAAAATGGTCCTTTTTTCAGTGCTGTTTCACTTCCAAGTGGTCCCTAAGCAAACTGTTGTAAGTCAAAGACGACCTGAAGTGGAAGATTGCTACTGGGTCCCACCCCATCCTCCTCTTCTGTGAGGCTAGGATATACCCAGTTCTCCTAACCAGGCCATTCCTGGAGACACCTGGGATGCAGATATTAGTTAAAGGTAAAACTTCCCCTCACACATCCATGCTAGTCGTTTCTGGCTCTAGGGGGCGCTGGTCATCTCCATTGCAAAGCCAAAGAGCCACCGCTGTCCGAAGACGTCTCCATGGCCATGTGGCCGGCATGACTTAAACGCCTTCGAAGGCGCACAGAAGGCTCTTCCCTTCCCACCAAAGGGATCCCTATTTTTCTACTTGCATTTTTTTTTTTTACATGCTTTCAAAATTGCTCAGTTGGCAGAAGCTGGGACAAATCACGGAAGCTCCCTCCACAAGATGCAGCGCTAGGGATTTGAACCGCCAAACTGCCAACCTTTCTGATCAACAAGCAATCCAGCCCTTCTTCCTTTAAAAAAAAATATTATTTTAGATCCATTGCACCCTTGCCACTGCTGGGTATTGCTGGTTGCCAAAGGGCCACTGGAGCTTACTCAAGTTTGTTGCCTTTTCGCCCTTGTTAGCGGAAGGAGCTGGCAAATCTCTTGGGCCAACTCCGGTGTTGACGGCAGAGTTCCCTGCCCAGGCCTCCCTTTCCCCTGTGGCGCTGGCACCTGCCCCTCCCCCCTGGCAGTTTGTTGCAGGGAGGAAGGCAGAGAGCTATTAAATATCCCTCCTGACATAATGATGGGCGAGAGAAGGGAAGAACACAATCCATTAGCATCTGGCTCACCCTGCAGTAGCAGCAGCCACAGTAGCTGTGGCAACGGGAGGGAAAGCGCCTGTATCTTTAGGTAGGATGCGATGTAACTTTCTGGCTCGCCCAAAAGTGGGGACTAGCGAAGGAAGGAAGGAAGGAAGGAAGGAAGGAAGGAAGGAAGGAAGGAAGGAGAGAGGATTGATCGGGTTTCCGCTCAGGCTACTGGACCATGACAGCACGGCACAGCAAGTCCTATCCAGACACGGCGGTTGTGAGTATCCACCCAGGCTGTGAGAACAACGCCCCAGTCCCTGTTCTTCGCTTGGGAGTGTCGGGTTGTCTTTCCAAAAGCTTCTGCCCTTTGCAAACCAGCTGGGGAATTCTGGGAGTTGATGTCCACAGGTCTTAAAAGTTGCCAAGGTTGGACACCTCGGGTGTAGAATGTTCCAGGGGTTGTGTGTTATTGGCTTGGGGGCTTAACTCAGGGTCTACTCCAACAGCCTTCTCAGGTGGACAACAACGTAAGGGAACCTGCCCGTGAAACATGTCTTCAGTGGCATTTTGGGGTGATTATCAGCCCCTCTCTTTCCTTTGGACATTCGTTCTCCCCTAAATTGCTTCTGCAGTGCTTTATCAAAGGTGGTTTGTTGCAGGAACTCAGTGACAAAATCATGAAAATAGCCCTTTAGCAAAATGTGCGAACCCGAGCGTCATGTGCGTTTGTGTATGTAGATGAGTGTGATGTCTCCCTTCTTTGCCTTGTACCTGTCTTCTCAATCGAAAGCTCTTCCTGCTGCCAACCCTGATGCTTTTGTTGGATTTTGTTTGTGCAACACATTCAACTGAAATATTGATAAGAGCGGTGGTTGAATTGGCGTCCTCATTTTGGTTAGTTTTGATGGCATATTTTTGGTATGGTTACCAAAGTGCCAGTAGAAGAAAATATATGTAGCTAAGGGTTGAATCGGTGCTCTCTGAGTTTGGTGGTTTTCTTGCGGATGTTTCATTAACCAACTAGGTAACGTCACCAAGGCTAGAAGGGAGTCGGGTTAGAGGAGGAGGGGTGGAGGAATGGGGGTTCCTTGGTGCTTTCTGAGCTTGTGGTTTTCTTGCAGACATTTCATTACCCAGCTAGGTA